AAAGAGTTTTCTCTCCCGTGAACATTTCTGAAGATTTCAAAAAATGTTCCTGTCCCAGTATGGGACAAAATCAAAATCTCCAAAAGGGAGGGGGGAAATTGTGGAAGTCAATCACAATATCAATATATTTCGATAAACTTTAAATGTATTTTTCATATGATTAGCATACATGTTGAAATGAAAAGCCATTGCAAACAGGGAAACTAGATGGGTTTACATAAAGAATATCAAAGGAAACCAATTTTGAACTTAAAAAAAAAAAATATATATATATATACACATATATATATATATAACCTTGTAATCAGCCTCCACAGACTGATAGTGAGCCTAGCGCCTGCCAACAAAAGAGCTCAAGACCAGTAGTGAGCCAAGCGCCTACTGGCGAAGAGGATTTGCCACTACAGTGCGAAAAAGATATACCCCAACGACACCACTATGCCCTTCGAGAAAGAAAAAAGGTATAGTGTGTGTGTGTGTGTGTGTGTGTGTGTGTGTGTGTGTGTGTGTGTGTGTGTGTTGTGGAAAATTAAGTCAAAAGCAAATATTCCCCAGAAAAAAAGCGTTAGTTTTGACTTGAAAAGACGTGTCACTGAAAGGTTCTGGCCAGTTCACAAGTCATGGCATGGCACAATACTTACTCTTTGGGCTATCTCGGGGGATTTCTGGGAACGCTGTTAACATCAAACACCAGTAGGTGGCTCTCTTTAAAAAAAAAACCAAAACAGTTCCAAAGAGCCATAGGACTTTGAATGGAAGCTTTGCAAAGTCCTGCTGCTTCTGGGAATGTGACTGTGAGGATTAACAATAGTTTTAAATGTCTGTTCATTTTTGAAGGGTTACAAAGCTACTCACAGCAACAATGTAAAAATACACACAAGCAAGTATAGACCAAAGTCCTGGAGTGTCAGTGCCACAGCCTGCCAATCTCATCAACCTTTCACATACATGTTTTCCATTAGATAAGAGAGAAATTCTTCCCATATCACACAGCATGCTTCTGCTTTCTCATTTACTAATAAAGGGCATGATTCTACTTTACTAGAAAGCCACTTTGTAATGCTCTGGCACTGTAAAAACGCATTATGTAGGAGTAAGCTGCCATGTTAATGCTCCTTCACTCCGCAACACTAGTCACTAGTGTAAATGGCAATTAAATCCAAAATATGTAGAGGCAAAACTTTTGCTCATGCCAATATTACCAATCTTTCAAAACTTGGAATAACATTTCCATTCCCTAAAGATTCATATCTTTGTACAGCCATGGGCAACTGCAACTTCTCTTTAAAAGAAAACCAAACAAAACTTTCTATTCCTGTGGATTGAAGGAAAATCATGAATCAAATTTAAGGTTTTATGCAAGAAGATCCTGTTGACTTTAAAGGTCAGTTATTACTCACCTAATGAATTACCAAGTCATATTATATCTAACATTTGATTCAAATATATAATATGACACTGTCCATAACATGTGTCAGGTTAATCCCTTGGTCATCTTCGCACCATCAGTGCACTTTACCACACACCAGGCTAACACGTGCACACATAAAAATGAAGCAAATAAATGATCTGCCCAATTTTGAATTATTACAATTTAATTTTAGACTCATTCACAGTCCTGTATATTTGGCCACTGTCTCCTGCTAAAGCATATCTTGAACTTGCAGTCTCCTCTTTCTAAGGGAAAAGTTGTTAGCGAAGTTCAGACAACATGCTACAGGTAAACTGGACAATGTGGAAAGCTACACACACTGTTTGATACCAGCTGAATATCTGGCTTAGATCTGGCCATTCCAAAAGGCCCTGAGTGAATTGACTTTCTTCTCACAGATGCATTCACCGGTGGTAACCTCCTCATACAGGACTCGCTCCTTCCTTTCTTTCTGTGACTCTGGCCCTTGTCTCCCTTTTCCAATCTCCTTGTCAGAAGCTCCACCTCCAGCGGCTCTGCTAATGCCTCTCAGGTACTTTGCCTCCTTTTTTTATTTTCACTTCTATTTTAACTTCATACACTCTGACTTTGGCTACCACTTCTATATTGAGCCTTCAACCTTTGCCTCACTTTCTCTGACCTCTTCTTCCCCATCTTCTCCCTCTTCTACCTCCCTAACACATCACCACCATACACCCATGTCATGCGAACCAGAAGACAATTTGGTGCACCTTTTCTCCGTAGCTATTCGCCACTCTTGAGAATCCCACTGTCCTCTATATCATCAAAAATCAGAATGCTTTTCTTCATCTTCCCCTTCTCTTTGTCCACAAAATATGGTCCACTCCTGTTTTTATATCATTGTTCATAATACCCCCAAAATGGCAGGAGTTCTTTTCCTAAAGCAACTAGTTTCTACTCTGACCTTTTTCAAATCCTATCTTGAAATATGCTTCTTCTGTGAAGCCAACCAACCCATAAACAAAGGTGTGTTTTACATATTTAATGAAACTATACTGCACAGTTCTGTGATCTTTCAGTCATCTGCAAGTATTCAGAGTGTCTTTAGATAAAGCCCTACGTACCTGAATTATTTGGTTTCTCTATGCATGGTTTAAGCTCCTTGAGGCAAGAACCATCTCATCTGTTCTGTACATATTTTCTATACCCCACAAATAATCTCCACAGCACAAAGATTCAAAGATATAGATAGATATGGATTAAAGACAAATCTGCCATGAAGCATGTTCTAAATAGAAAAGCTTTAACTTTATCTTGACATTATTGAAGGGATGGAGTGAAGAGAATTCCCAGCTGAATTAGTATAATAAAGATGCTATAATTATTCAGCTATTTACAAGACTACTTCTGCTCTACAGTTCCTAAAACAGAATGACATCTTGTAACTGGCATCAGGTGGGGAATCTTGAGTACTCAGGCTTTGAGTCTGTGCATGTGACAATAGGTGCTGAAAAGACACCGTCAGTGAATGACACCCTTTCTTTAGCTACAGAACAAGAACAGCAGTGGCAGCTTCTGTACACCACTCTGTTCATTCTGGCTTAGGTGGATCAATTCTATGAAAGAGAAATTCAGTCTTCATAGTCCACTCATTTGTCTTTTAGCTGAGGTCACCTAAAATTTGCAAAGTAGTTCCAAACGTGGTGATGGCTTTTATTACTACCAGTGAAAACATCATGGAATACCATGGAATAGGATCACATCAGCTGTCTAATAGGTGGAAGATAACCTGGCCTATTCTGTTGTTGTTCTCGACTAATAGTGAGGGCTGGACTTATTTTGATGTTCTCCCATCTTTGTATTCGTTTCATGACTTAGAAAGAGACATGGATCTTGAACTATCATCTCTCCAAAACTCCTAGGGTTCCTATAAACATGCAGGGAGCCTGCTCCAACATGCTGTAATACCAGCACGTCGGAGTGTGGAAATTAATATGCTCCAGCAGCCTCCAGTTTCACATATATCAGTATTGCCACACTGAAAAATGGCTTGTTCAATGAACTTTAGTTCAAAGCACCCACCACCATTTTTTCAGCGTGGGGATGCTGATACATGTGACACTCAGGTGTTTTTAATTAGTGCGGCTCCAGAAGCTACACTAATTAAACCACACCCCCCCACCACGCCTCCTAGAATATGTGTATAAACATCCCTAGTTCCCCACAGTTTTGCTCCATCTAACTATTTTTGGTACTTACATGGCTCCTGCTTCTATAGAATATGAGCTCCACATAAGCCCCAGTCAATCTTTACAATATTTCCTCACAACATTCCCAGAAAGTAAAGATGGATGTTTATCTTCCTTTTACAGATGGGGAGTTAAGATCCAGAGAGAATGAGTGTCTTGCAAAGCCAAACAGGGAATCTGTGGCACAGCAAGGAATTGAATCCAGGGGTGTAGAGTCCCAAGCTGATGCACTGACCACTAGATCATCCTTCCTATCCAAGTGTTTCTTGGACAGACTTTCAGGGAGAGTACACCACTTTTGGTTCAGACTACAGAGAGCCTACTACTTAGGGTGACTATACGGGACAATGTGAAATGTGGGATGCTGCCTGCCTGCACCTCCCCACCCCCTCTTCTGCAGGGAGTCAACAGCCCGTTTATGTTTTTACTTCACAGGTGTTAACAATCACCTATGAAGTAACAATAGTGTTAATAGGGCGTCCTACTTCGCAGCTCCTTCTGCTCTATCTCCCTGCTCCACTGTGCCTCCAGGCCCAGGGCGCTCATTTTAATTTCCACCAGCCAGCTGGGACCAGCTTCCAAAATCTGGGACTGTCCTGGCCAATCCGGGACATACGGTCAGCCTACTACTACTGAACCATATGATCTAAATCAGCAGTTCCCAACCTCTGACAGATTGCACACCACCAATTTAAAATGATACAACCTTAAGTATTACCAGCAATTTTTTGTCATACAAAGTAATTATAATACATCTGTCAATGCGTCACACTGACAGGTTGTCTGCGTACCATTGGTGGTACATGCACCACACATTGGGAACTGCTGATCTAAACGGTTTATGAGTTGCAACTTCATTCAGATGTAATGCTGCTCCTCACCCTCAACCCACACTGAGGTTCAAAGACACTTACCTGGTGGGTGCATGCTTCTGCTCCTCCTCTTCATCAGTGTCACTGCTGATAGTGATGACACTGACTGCAGGGCTGGGTGTGTCTGGGATGATTATTGTCTGCCGCTGCCGCTCCCGGGTGGTGCTGGAAGCCACATCACCCCACCCACACGTGACAGAAGTGCTACAGGCAGGGCTGTTGTGCACCATAGCACAGCGAGGGGGGGTGTTCTCCTTCACTCGTTTCGATCGCTGAGGAGAGCTAATGGACTGGGATGATGACACTTCATAGGTAGATGCATTTCTGAAAGCAAAAAACACAACCAGCTGGTGAAACCTCAGATCACCCCACTGCCACAATGTCACTGGTTTTGGATTGTTCAGTCTCTCTTGCTCTGAGGCTTGCGGGGCTCAGATAACTGCACTTCTTTGAAGAGGGGAATATCTCATATCATTCATCATTACAGCTGGCTGAAAACTATTTCTCTCCCACCCCCACTTGGTGGAGAATGTTCATTAAATGGGCAAAAACTCATCAGGAAACTAATAAATTCTGCCCCAAACTGCACTACTGCCATTTGGAAAACTGTTGTGGTATCTCACGGGTATCCCTCATCCTGCTGTATCCTGGGAGATGCAGGCCAGCCAGGGAGCCCAGCATACACAGAAGAATGGGAGTTATAGCCTGAGTGTCTCATGCTCCACGTTCCCTTCTATACGCTGAGCTCGCTGGCTAAACTACACTTCACAGGCTACACTGGAGCCAGGTTCTCAGCCAAAATATTTTGACTCTTCACAAAGAATCAAAAGGTAGTACTGAGAGCAGACATCTTTTGCTATGTTGTTTAGTTGGAAATGAAATATTAAGAAAGAACGGATGATTTTTTTTTTTGCCCAGCAATACTACTCATTTCAGCAACACAATGGAGCAAAACAGAGGTGTTCCAGATGGAAACCCACTGAGTTCCTTTTGGTTCTGATGTGAGCAGCAAAGCTGGGGGGTGTCTGTGTGAAAGGGGAAGTAAATGGGAACAGCTGCCATCAGCAGAGGAGAAAAACATCCTCAAGTCCTTCTTTTTCTGCCTTCCTGCTTCAGTCCTCGTCACAGACAGTAGAATGGGGATTGATTTGGATCAGTTGCCTAAACATGGCACCTACCCATCAAAGGGTGAATGAAACAGAGAGCACTTGAATGAAAAAGGAGTGCACATTCACTAGTACCCATATCATTATTTTCTAAAGCCTTTTCATTTTTATTTAAATTTGCTCAGAACAGAACATTTTCAGATTAAAAAAAAAAAAAAAGCAAAGGTTCTAGTTCTGTTTTGCAGGCAAGTTTTGTTTGCATTCTTGGTTTGGCCTAAAAGCTAGCAAAAGGAATAGGTAACGTATTCAAAGGCTGGAATTATGGACATATCACAGCACACTGACTTACACAGGGTCTTTTGCATAACAAATGACTGCACCGTAGCATTTGCAGTGCTTTTTGAATACCAATGAGAAACACGGAGTACCCTTCTCTCAAAAGGAGCACGTTCCTCATTTGGATACAAAAGCATTACAAATAATGGAAAAATGTAGGACCATGGAAAGCAGCCGCTCTGAAAGTGGCCAATTCCTTTTCTGTCGCAGACACCCTGCATGTAGGGTGGGCTAAGAAGGGAAGGCAGAGAGACTCTGCATGTCCAGATGCACTGTGATATGTTCCCTGTTTTACTGGCTTGTTGGGTCGTAACTGTCTCTGTTCTGCGTTATGAATCGGCCAAGGCAGCTGGAACCAGCCCAAAGTAAAGGAAACATTAGACATAAGAAAGCAGATAAATAGGAAGGATTTTAAGCAAGTAGCATCTTACCCAGAGTTGGACTGATTGTGAATTCAGTGCAGTTCCTTTGGCCCCAATCAGGACACCCAGGGAAACAGGAAGCCCTTCTATTCTTTCCCCTTCCATACATCCACCCCATTTTAGGTCCCCTTCCTCCCCAAACTCTGAAACTAAAGGTGCTACCCTGAAGACCTCAGGGCTCTGCCCCTTGACAAGGTAAGCACAAGCAGCAGTCAAGCACATTTGTCACAGATACCGCCCCCCCCCCTTCCCCTGCAGAGATGAGTAAAGGGGTGACCACATTCTGCATCCTGTATTTTGGTCATGTAACTACATATTATGGGCTAAAACTGAACCCTCCTGCTACTGCAAAGCAAAATGGCCATGAAGCTGATGGATTCAATCATTTAAGGAACCTTCTCATATACAAGAATCTTTGGATAATACAGAATTTCTATAATGGCTCCTATGCCACCTCCCACTTTAGATCCTGATGCAGGTGGTATACTTATGCCTCCACGATTCTCAACTGTCAGAATGGCCCCTTGGGACATGCATAGCTAGCATAAGCTGGGTGTACAAACAAGATGACCACTCTAATTATGCCAGAGACTGGACTATTTCTAGGATGGGGAGGACAGGAAGGTGGTACAAAGCTAAATTTTCTCCCTGTATTGCAGTGAGTGTTATTCCTGGACAACAGAACCTATGTGCATGCAATCATCTGGCTGCTTTTGAACAGACACATTCTAGGTGCATATCTGAGGTGTGTACTTCTGAGAATCTGCCCCTTGAGCCAATGACAATGCTGAGGCAAAGTGACCATTCGGTGGAGTGTCTTTGCAACCAGATGAGAGGAAGAAGTCAGGCCATTTCCTTGCAGAAATTCTGAGACTGGAAGGTATTGGTGCAGTATGTTAGAACAGAATGCAGTTTCTTTTTAGTTATGCTAAACACTGCATTGTTACATAATATATATTAGATGTAATGTATTAAATTCATAGGGTCTGTCACCACTCTCTTGAGCCTTGCCCAGTCATTTGCACCTGTGCACACTGAGTGCACAGTTAGCATAAAGCACAGAAAACTATAATTATATGCTCTTCTTGCAGTGGTGTAAATAAGTGCACAAGCAATAATAGCAGAGAACCAGGTCCACAATACCAATATATTGTAAAAAAATAACCCCAGGCACCAAGATGACAATCTAGAATTTCACAGGCCATGGAATAAACTATTCTGCATCTGGGAATATCAATAAGCAACTCTTCTATCCATATACCAGCCCTGTTTGCATTTCAGTGCTGCCCCCACAGTCCCCACAAATCCAGCAACAACAACAACAAACACCAGAAAGAAGTGTATAAACAGACAACAGGGAGCATGCGTGAGCTGGGAGCAGGGGACAGGTAACAAGATTTTTGATTGGCAGTAATTTGTGGAGACTCATATAAGGCATTTGTGGCTCTGTCACTCACAAGTGATATGGCCATCCCTAACGCATGGCATTAAAATTTTATGCCACCCCATGCCATCATACAGTTATATTTATACCTATTCTATTCTATATATATTCACTGAAGTGGAAGCAGTGGGGCTTTTAAGTGGTTCAATATCCACTAATTCTGCCAAGACATCACTTTACTAGATTTAAACAGGCACAGTTTCACAGACTTCTTTTCGAGTGACTTTGTCTTTCTCAGGGGAAGCAGAGTGGTACCCTATTACAGAGCGGAGAGAGAAAGATTCACAGCATGATGGTCCTGATTTTCCTCCCTCTGACATGGGTTCAGCTCCACCTACTTGCTTCTGATTTACACTGGTGAACAAGAGAGAAGAATCAGGCCAGCTCTACATGGTAAACTTCCAGTGCCTGCCAATGGTACCCTTGAGTACGCTGTGCTGCTTCATGCAGACTGGAAACAGCCACGCAGCACCAGAAACTGATTAGCATGGGAGGTAGGCTAATTGGCACTGTCACTCTGCAGCACTAATTAGCCCACCTGGATGCTCCTCCAGCATGGCCTGCTTGAGACCTCCACTATGATAAAGTTGGCTTTGTAGATATGGTTGTAAGCCCTCTAACTGGAAGTACCTCGTTCCCAGTCCTGATTCACCTCCTAGCAGATTTGCCATTGCCATACATATATGCACAACCGTTTGACAGCACTGAATTTGAACTGGGATGGGGGGTCTTTAGGTTTCCACTAGGTTCTTCCCCACTTACCTTGTAGATGATTGGTGCTGTTTATTCTTCCGGGAGGAAGTGGTGCTGGTTGGCTGTTGTCTCATGACGTGAGCCACACCCACATTCAATGGCTGGGCTGCTGGAAGAGTCACATGACTAGCTAAAAGCGCAGGCTGTTGCATGATGGGATTATAATGGCTACCATGAGCATGTGTGTTTCTGCAAGAGGGAGGAAAAGAGGGAGGAGAGAGTTGCCTTTAAAATGTTTGTGTATCCACTGGCTGCCAACATCATCAAATGTACCCAGTTAAAGGAGATTTCAGGCATTTCCAGCCCTGGCATCATATTTTGGCTGTTCGTCTTTTTTACCTTGTGAAGGCTGTTGCCTTTGCTTTATTTTCTTTTCTGGATAGGAAGAAGTGGGGAAAGGTTGAGGAAGATGCATGTACCATACATATTTTGAACCCATGTCCTGCTTGAGCCACTCAGTTCAATTGGATTCACTGCCTGAAGGGAGCACTCAAGAGTGATATAGGTCTCTTCTCCTCCATAGATCTAAACACTGATTCAATCGTTCTCATACTCTCTCCCTGCCTGGAGAACAAGGGACTGAGCTTGGGACCAGACTATGAATCTGTAGGCGCATCTACATGAGATGCTACATTGCTGTAGTGACGAGCTACCGTGATGTAGCTCGTTGCTACAGCAACATAGCATCAATGGGCACAAACCGTGATACCGTCTCTACTGTGCAGTAGCAACAAGCTACTGCACAGTAGGGTTGGAAACAAACCACGCAGCAGCAGGACTCTGCAGTACCGGCAGTTACTGCACAGTCATCTAGTCCTAAGTCATATAGTACTTTAGCACTTTATTGCTAAAGCAAGTACTAAATGACTGAGCAGTAACAACTGTGCAGTTGGATGTGTGTGTAGATGTGCCCTGTCAGCATAAGCCACTGTCATCTGTACCTCGAAACAGACACACAGGCAGACACACACACACACACACACACTCATTGTTCTTTGACCACTTTGACAGTGTTGTCTTTTTTGATAGTTGCTTGGTACATAAGTATCTACCCCACACACCCTGATAACCATCTCTTCTTTGGGAAGACCTTCATGCCTTTTTTAGACGTGACTTAATTGCACATTACAATTATGGAGCAATTCATGTATTAATTGTACCACAAATAGTAACAGTGCTATACGATCAGCCAATTTATGGCACTGTAAGTGGCAAACCGGCCACAAAGATATTCCATAAAATATCCAGCATCAGCAAGGACATGGGGGTCAGCATAGGAACTGGGACAGCCCTAGTCCAGATGCCAAATATCAGCTGCTGGAAAAGCAGGTTGCAGTGTTCCCTGATGGTGAGGGGGAGAGAGGGGGAACCAAGGCTCTAGCCAGCAGGAACCTGGCAACCCTCAAGGCCCTGCGGGGGTTACAGGGCAAGGCATTTTAAAATGCTGGTTTGTGGGTAGATGAGCTGAACACATGGTTTTTAGATGTCCTGGGACACAGTGTCCACGATTTCTCAAAGCCAGGCATGCAGCTGGGGTGTCCCGGGACAATCAGCAGATTGTCAGACCTGGTCTCAAACTGGAGATGGGACTCTTGGGGCTTAGAGCTGGGCCAGCAGTCAGCAGATTGTTGGACCTGCTATGGACAGCCCCAGGTCTCAAACCAGAGTCAGGACTGTTGTGGCTGGATCTTATAATCAGCTGATTATTGGAGCTGGCCCGCACAGCTCTAGGGGGGAACTTGCTGGGGGTGGGAACAACCCTGGGTCTGGGACAAAACCACCCCATCTGATCTGCAGGACCGAACTGGGGGTAGCTCAGCAGTGGCACACTTGGGACTGGAGAAATGTTATGCCTCATGCACATCTAGCAAGGCAGATGGCAGGTTGTTTGGGATGGGACATAACATTTCTCTAACCCCAATTGTGCCATTGTGTTAACCTCTGCCAGAGGCCTTACAAACACAAACTTAGGGAACTCAGAGCCTGTACTGAAGACTTCAAGTCCCAAGCATTAGTGACAATTGTTAAGATCAAAGTATAACACAAGTCACCATGCCTTATGCTAAGACAGCATTTCCCAATCGGTGTGCTACAGCATTTTGGGCTGGAGCCACACCACCCATCTGCTGCTGCTGCAGACACAGACAGACAGGGAGTGTGGCTCCAGCCCTCCATGTTGGCATCTGGCTGGCCGTGCACTACCTCTGTCTGCACCCCCATCGGTGTCTGAATTGCTGCACACCAATTCCCCCCCCTCCCCTCCCGCTCTGTGTCCGGTGTGCCTCGGTGCCTTTTTATTTAGGTAAGTGCGCCGTGGGGCAAAAAAAGTTGGGAAATGCTGTGCTAAGATACTAACCCACAGGGGACAAGCAATGCCCCATAGATCACCTGGTTATGGCCCAGACCACCAGGCCACTCTTCCAGCTAAGGTTCAATACAGAGATGATCTCTGCAGTCTCCAGAGAGGAGAGGAGACAGCCTGATGATGCAACACCATTTGGCCACAAATTGTTCAGCTGAGAAACCATCCTGGGGAAAAAAATGATGTTCTGACCCAATATTGATGTCTTATTTTCTGGCACAAGCCACAACATTGTTGCTTTTGGCTTTCTTTTAAAAACCAACATGGGGCAAATGACAATGATCAAGTTTCATCAAGGATGACCAAGAACACGCAGTTTCAATGTGCCTGAAAAGCTCTGACTGTGACTGTCCATGCAAAGGCCACAGACATTACACATTCAATATTCGCACATATACACAACCTAAGATATCAGCAAACCTTCAGACATAGTAAGGTTGCATATATTCAAACAAATCCTTCAGAGGTTTCCTGTTTACCTCCAGTCTGCCAGTGGCTGGGTTCCTGCCATAGCTTCTGGGATGACGGTTGCATGCTGGACTGAAGCGTGGGTAGCTACTCCGGTCAGCTGCTGCCAGGCTGGAGGGAGCAGGATCTGCTGAGTACCACTAGGCCAGGCCTGCTGTTGAACAGAGGAGAAATTTGTTCTTTACATGAATCACCATACAATGCTGGTCCACATTAAGGCAGACTTTAAATAGGAATACCTGGCTCTTGCATAATACTTTTCATTCAAAGTTCTCAAATGCCCTTGGAAACTATAGCAAAATAATGATCAAGATAGATGAAGAGAGAAGCAGAAGAAAAATTCCTGATAATGCATTCAAAGGGATGCAGCCATAGCACAGTTAGGCTCAGGAAAAAATAAAAGGAGAGCTGGCCTGACCTTCAACCCAAATATCAAATGGAACCGAATCTTTTTATTTTAGTCCTTATATGCCAGGTGGGTTCAGCAATCTCATCAGGCTTTCTCCTATCACTTGCATTTCTGAAAAGGCAGAAGAGCTGTATCTTGGGCCCTCAGCAGTTTTGGCTTATATTACAGGTGGAGGGTGTCCTTACATTTCATTCATTTCAAGGCCTCCTAAAGGTGAGGTCAAACATAATCGAGAAACCTGTGAGCCGCGAAAGCCCAAAGACTGCAAGGACTGGAACAAAACTACTGTCCAAAGGCCAGCAGAGAGACTGCCAACTCAGAAATATTTCCATCTTTGCTACTCCAGCAGAATGGTATTAGAACATAGGAGCTCTTGGAAGTCAGGCAAAGGAATAGGTGGGTTGTGAATCTTAACAAGGGAAGGAAGAAGGGTTTAAGGTTAAAAAAACAATTAGGAATCTTGAAAAGGAGGAGGTGAGAGAAAGAGAAGAGGCAGCAGGAGGGTGGGAGATGACAGGGGAATGGAAAGATGGGCTCAGAGGGAGGGTGGGAGGGAGATGACATGGAAAAATGGGCTCAGAGGGCGGAAGGAAGGAAGGAAGGAAAGAAGGACTTTGATTTTTTAACTACTTTTTTCAGGGGTTCGGGGTACAAAAAGTTGGCCCCTCTGGGGTCCAGGTCCAACAGACAAAGCAAAGACAAACAAATTACCATCAAAACAAGAGCACCATGCCATTACATTCATAACACTACACCGTGACAGACACCTTTGCAGTATCACGTCATGCCTAACATGCCGTTATGCGGTCGGGACACTGGCCACATGATCATATAGGCCAAAGCCCTCTATGAACAAACAATTCCTACCCTGCTCTATCCAATCATACACATGACAACACCTTCAACTTCCCACACAAAAAGAAAAGCAGCCTGGTGAAGGCCCAGGGCGCAGCACAAGCTGGGAGTCACAGTCCAACACTGAGCCTGCCTGGTCGCTCTGACCAGGCATGACATCAGTGCACATATTGAAGACGGCTGTCCTCCACATGGCACAGCACTCCCTTGAGGGCCCAGCGTGCCTCAAAGGTGGGCACTGCCCACCAGAGCACAGCATGCTCAAACTCCAGCAAGAGGCACACCCACACAAGGAGGCTGAAAAGCCACAGGGCATTGTCTGAGTCAGTCCCGGCAAGCCGGTTGCGGTGGCTCTTGAGGACAGCCACCTTGGCCTGACCCAGTAGAAAGTTGGCCAGGCAGACAGTGCCCTGCTTGGCTGCCCAGTACGGGTAGGAGCACACGTAGGTGGTCTCCCAGAGGCTCCTGCTCAGCGCCCGCAGTGGCGGCTCAAGGGTGACAAAGAGCGGCTTCAGGCAGGGACAGTCAAGGAAGGCGTGAAACAGGTTCTCCTCAACGCCGCCGGGGCAGAAGGGGCAGGCCATCAAGGCAGCTGGGTCAAAGTGGGAAGCAAACGTGCCAGTGGCTAGGAGGTCGCCAGACTTCTTGGTGGGTGGTGGGTTTCAATGTGTGCCAAGCCAGGTGGGCTGGTGGGGAATCTGGCAGCCCCAGGCGCCATCGCCACAGTGTATTGGGGTGGCCTGCCAGCACCTGGGCATGGTGGACGTGAACCACCCAGGCATACAGGCTTCTACGCGGCAGAGAAGCAAAGGGGCAACCCGTGTCACTGTTGGGAAGCAGGGGAAGTGTCAGCAGGGTGCCAGGCCCACCAGCCAGCTCACCAGCCATGGCCGGGGCAACAGGAAGGAAGGAAGGAAGGAAGGAAGGGTCTAGTCAGATTAAGAGTCAGGAAAGAGAAAGCTGTGATGTGGAACAGGACATTTAGACAGGCTTCTTTGTACCAAATATGTATAACCGGTCACTAATTCCAATTGGGTCATCTCTGAAGCACTGGATGAATCTATGAGATGTACAAACTAAATTGATTTAGATGCTACCAGAGGGGATTAGCTCTCTAATCCTAACACACACGTAAGACTGAAGTCACAACTTTACTTCAGTACGTTACACTTTATTCCACAGGTTGCCTTGATGACATCCTGGGACTTTTTGCAGTGATGTGCTTTTCAGTATCAGAATCTGTCCCTGAATTCACTTCAGTAAGGTCAGCCTTAATACACACAAGTCACATAAGGGAAAACAGCTGGTTACTTTTCACAAATACAAGGGAACCCAGTAACAAGTTCTAAGGCCCGAAAGATGTAATGCTCATGTTGGCAAATTGATTTTGAAACAAAGAGATTTAAGGGACCAAGCTCCATTTTCACCAACACCTTCAAGGGGTGAAGGTGTGTTGAGCTCTTTGAAAATGAGAACAATGCTAGGGCCCCATCTATATTACAACATATGCACGGGAATCAGAACTTTGTTTAAAAATTGTTTTGAAGCATGATCCTAGCAACTTTCATTTTTCACTCAGAGTGACAGGAAATGCTTTACCAAAAAAAAGAGCTAGCCACTATAAGCTATACCCTCCAGCAAACCTTCTTTAACCGTTGTGGAACATGCTGTTGAGCTGGGGTAAATTAAAAATGTGAACTGGATTACAGCTTAAACTTTGTTTGAAAATAGCTTCAAACACTGCAAAGCCCTGGAGTTGAGAGGACCTAAAGGTCTACCTTTGGCAAGAGACCATTTCATGTCAGCTTTTGATTAATCTATGGACAAGGAAAACAAGAAGAGATTGTGTTGGTGACAGCAGCTTACCTTTATATAACAACTTTCAAATGATAAACAAGTATTAGCTCATCCACTAGTGGAATGACATACATCAATAATTTAACAGTTCCCTGTAACACTTCCCAACAATTTTAGACAGGAAGTGAGGGAGGATACTGTACCCAAAAAAACCCCTGCAAGTTTTCAAGGCAGACGGAGCTTAAGATCCTCAGGAACTTATACAAGATGCATTTCTTGTGCAGTTTCCCCCTACTGCAAATACATTTCTAATTTCAACGTTTGCTTATAATTATTTAACTCCTATAGTTTTAAGAAAAGTAGCCACCATGGAAAAGCAACACTTTTCTGTTTGGTATTCATGAAGGGATGTCTTCCGTAAGCAGAGAAAATTTGTCATTAATCCATAATGCTAATCATTAAGGTACAAAAATGTGTATATAATGCATAAGAGGAATATAACTTCTTAGTTAAAATGTTAAAATCTAGCACTTTCTGATCATGCTTCCTTCAGTGTTCACCCTTCCTTCCTTCCTTACATTGCATACATAAGACAACCTGCTCATAACAAAAGCAACCTTACAAAATGGGGCACATGATGCCAGTCTTGGAATCTAATTTTGAACCACCTCCCACTACTTGGCTGGGGCATCTGGTCTTATAAACCTGCCTGGTGAAAAGAATGCTGTATTTTCTAATGGGCATCAAGTAAGAAAAATGGGGAGATGAAGCTCTATAGCCAAGGGTTTATGGGTAACCCAAGTAATTTCTTCCTGATCTGAATAACCTTTACAAACCAATTAAAGGTCTGGCTAGATATCCTAAGGGATGAAAGCGGTGTTGTACAGCCTGAACACTAGCGCTTCAAGCTTCTGCCACTCTCCAATGCGACTCCACCCTAACTTGGAAGAACCACTCCTAGGAATGTCATCACATCCATTCATTGCTTGGTTTCTAGACTTAAATTGCTATGTCAACAGACGTCAAATGTGATGGTAGCTACTGACTGCTGGGAATTAAACTGAGAACATCCTCTTATTTCAGAGAAGCCACTTATTAGCTATTAACAGCAGGCCCTCTTCCTGGGATCTCTCAAGTGTATTTTAACAACCTTTGCAGCAATCTTTACCTGTGGCAGATAAGGGTGTTATGCCTTGCATCTGGGTTGACTGTGTAGTCTTGCTAAGAGGTTAGGCAATGGATTTGTGTAGGATGGTGTAACAGGGGAACCCCTTCCCCCTGTTTCTTGAAGAAAATGCAGCTTGCAGAGAAGGAGCTGTGCTACCTGCATCTGCTGCCAAGTGGGCTGCAAAGCTCAGCCTGCAGATTTCAGGGACCAGAATGCTTGACTGCTGAATAGGGGATGAGGAGCACCTGGGTTCAATTAACAACAAACCAGGACAATTGACCGGAAGAGTAGGGAGAATCAAGGGCCGTATAAGCCTAAGTCTGGAGTCCAGACAGAGCCCTGCCAGGGTCAGGGACAGGGGGCAGCTAGAGCTAAAGCCAAGAGAAAGGCCTGGAGGGTCCACATGAGTGGGAAAGAGAGGCTGGGCCAGAGGAGCCTAGACAAGAGAGAGAGATATCCCTGCTACAGCTGGGGATGAACCGACTGGCAGCCTAGTGATGAGCAGGGTGGGGCAAGGTACCAAAAGTCAAACTCCAGGCCTCGGAAGGCACCTGCCGACATTTATTAACCTTTTGACATCAAAGTACAGCCGGTGAGAGAGGAGGAGGCCCAAGAAGGGGAACTGGAGTGGGAGAGCAGGCTAGGTTGGCCCCAAAGGGATGCTCCTGCCTCAGGCAGCGGGGTGAGCTAGATGACCTCTAGAGATCCCTTCCAGCCCTGCTTCTCTTGGGTTCTATGACACTTTCAGAGATGACAGACCTGGGCTGAATTCAAAGCAATGACAGATAAAATGCTCCCTATGTTCACTGATTAGAAGAGACTATCAATTGGGGTTCTTCCACCCATGTCTCCTGAGTGCTGAGACAAAAGTTAACAGACCCCTGCCATTTTCGGAGACCAGCCCTATCCCCAGCCTCTATCTACTTACTAAGACAGGGCTTGTACTGGAATTTCTGAAGGTGCCTTGGGGGAGCTGGATGCCCAAATCCCATTGAATTCTACCCCCTGCTTTTCTATCAAAATGTCCTAATTCTCCCTTAGGTTCCTTTGAAAAAATCCAACTTTACCATCTGAACTTGCATATGAACTAAGTTCTTAAAGTAGCGTGGGCTGGATTCTGCCCTAAACCCCCATGTGTAATCCCAACAAAGGTCAATGAGGAGCTTCAATCCTATGGCAAGTGGCAAAATCAGGTCTAGCCATTCATGTGCTTACCTAAAGGGCTGATGCGCTTCACAGCCTCTGACTCCTTTGCTTTCTTAAGCAAACTGGAGTACTGCAGTCTACTAAACAAGCCTGAAAATCACGTTTGTCTCCTCATTTCCCTCCCTGGCACTTTCTAGCTGGTGCTACCGAGCCTCTGGGGTTTAACTCTCAGCCCTCCTATTGCCATGTAAGTATCATTCCATCCACACTGTCACGGACTGTATCCCAGTGTCATCTTGTTCTGATGACTTAATTTAGGAGTCATATAAATCTTTTGTAGCTTGGTCACAGATTCCTCCAATGTGATAGTAAGGCAGTTTCAGTGCTGGCATAAAAAGCAAGCACATTCATAGCTTGGGCCATGAAACATAGGGGTGTCGAATATATCCCTCCCTGAGGCTGTAAGCACCCATGTGTGAGGCTACACAGTGTGACGCCACAGCACTAAAGGGCAAAGCTGGAAATGTTGAGACTATTGCCATGGAAGTGTTTCACTCTGTTCCTTCCTGAACCAGATTCAGAGATCAGGCTTGGAGAACTCATTATCTCTGATGAGAAATTCTGAAACTCCCCCTCACCACTCCCCCAGCAGTCCATAGTCCTTCTGGCCTCCCTTCCTCTCCCGCTACCTCCACCCTTTAAAATCTCTTCCCAGCTCAGCTCCAATTTTTGATTGTCTTGGAATTTTCCGCATTGCTGACTTGGATGAAAGGGCTGGTATGGTGGGGCCTCTCCATGTGTCAGCCACATCTACAGAAGCCAGGCTGAAAAGAACAGTCAGTCACAGGGATCAATACAGCTGTTCACATCACTGTGCTACAATCAAGAACTAATGTTGGCCAAGCTGGTGGATGCAGGGTAGGGCAGCTTTTGTTTTTATAGCTTGTGCTTTAAGAAGTTGACTACAACTCCCATTACTCCAACTTGCAGAGGACTACATAAGTTTACTCACTGAAGAAAACCACTTCCTTCCTTGGGAAGAAGTCTAGATTTATTCAGTTCTCCCACTGTAGTAAGTAAATATAGATATGGTGCACGGTCCAGGCCAAAAATCCTTATTTATCAGGTAAGGTCCACTGACTGACTTAATCTACAGATAAAGGCTTGCCTGAAATAATCCACTAGAACAGTACACTTTGTTTTCACATAGGAAAACCAGTACTGAAGCCATAGTCAGCTCTCAGTTATACCTGTTCAACCCCATGTGAGGTTCACGGGTATAATCAACACTACACTTTAGACTTAAGTCTTTTGATATGACATTCAGGTGTACAAAGGGAGACAAGCCTATTCAGTGGCATAAGGCAAATAGCATAAATGGAGGGACTATATTCACCACTAGCTCCAGAGGCTGGTGACAGGCCTTCATGCACAGAGCAAATATAGAGAAGGAACATAAGTGGAGGAACACAGAACAGTCTCTAAAGGGAAGAAGGAAGAGTACAGAAGGGATCTGGGTTGTGTCAGAGAAAGACTCCTGAGAAATGTGGAGCCCTGCCCCATTTTTGATGAGAAGCTGCAGAGCTTTTAGCAAAGGCCAGAATCAGAACTTCTTTCCACCTGTCTCATTGCACAGTATATAGACACATTTGCTCATGAGCATGAAAAGAGACCCGGTGAGGTTGGCTAAAAGTTATTTTTACCACCTGCTTCACAGACTGCAGACAGCTAATTTTGCACAACTTTTCATATCATGTTTCTGCAATAAACAACCGACAAAGATGATATACAAAATATGACCCTCCAACACTACCATCCTGAAGGCAGAGGTCATCGATGGGTTTTGGGGCCAGGAGATATTTTCCAGGCCCCATCTCCAGAAATTCATAGTTCATATAGAATATATAGCAAGAGCTAATTCCTGGTTTTCAGCCACTGTCTGTGCTGTGGTATGATAACAACTGCTCCTGGAGGCTTTGGGTATGTCTACACTGTGCTGCTGGAAAAGCCTGCTCCAAAGCATGTCCTGCTCACCTGTTGTCACTTGTATACACAGGAAAATGCAACAGTGAAGCCTCTCTAGGGATGTTTCCTCTGAAATATGCCAAAAAGTAGCCACAGGAATAGGACTGCTGCTGGCCCCAGCTTGCAGCAGCAACCTGCTGAAACCCTGTGCGCAGATCCAGGGGCCTGTGTCCTCTGGGAAGAGCTGGGGAAATGATCAGAGAACTGGGGGAATTGAACTGGGAGCTGGGGAATCAAACCAGGAGCTAGATGTCAATATCAGAGCAGTCCTTCCCGCTCTCTTTCCCCTCCCTCTTCCTAATTTTTGTTTCCCTGCAAGCCTGGCTCTGAAACTCTGAAATTCTCCGAAACATTTCTGAAACGTTTCAGAGCCTTCCGTTTCAATTTGAATTTGGTGTTTTGGGCACCGAAACAGCCCAAAACACCTCCAAAATGCAACGGCTGCTGAAATTTCACACAGCCCTAATGTGTACATATACACAACTGCACTATCAATATCAACCACTGTTAGCCTTCTTCACACTGATATTTTGTGCATGAATTGTATTTACTGAGTTCCTGTACAGAGTATTGAAAATCGGTCCTTTTATCTTTCCAGTGCACTGTTTCGTAGGCTCTTCGGGCATTTTTACACATACTTTTTCATTCAGCAATGCGCCGGAGATGCACCGCTTCTGAGCAGACTCAATTAATCGAGTCTGCTCTGCATTTGAGCTGACATGCACTGCACTATGCCACGTGCAGTTGTACAAGCGGCGAAATGCATGCCAGCACACAGAAAATGCTAGCAGTGCACTTTTGAACTAATGCACCTCTGAGGTGTTTTAGTTCAAAAGGTGTGCCACCGTCATTTTCTCAGAGTTCACGTGAATTTTGCCACTTATACAACTGCAAACATTGTAGCACTGGGTGCTTTAAAAAGCGCCCAGTGCTGCAGTGCTTGCACATGTAAAAATGCCCTTTTCTATTGAAAAAGATGTATGGCCCACACTAAAGATTATGACAGGCTTCAGTACACAGTATGTCAACATCAGAGAAGCAGCTCTATAACAAAGACTCTTTTATTGGGAATAGGTGTGGCACTTTGCTAAAGCAAAGTCATACAGGCTTCAGCTCATATTTTGATCTGTTTTCACCTGATAAGCTGGGTTGGCATCTGGAAAAGAAAGCAATCACACTCAGTGCCACAAGTTACCCAGGCAATCCAAAACATAGGCAGAATGTAAAAGTCTGCTGGTTTTTGAATGTAGATGAACAGGCAAGCATTACCCAGCATACAATAGATTGGCTAATCTTATGATAGGCAAGTGTATTACCTCTAGATCACCCTTTCCAGGCTATGTTGTGCTTTGAACCCGCCTCACTGTAAGCATATTTGTTCTCTGCTGAAGACATTTCTGATACTGCCTGAATCAGTAAAGTGCTAACCATTTTGATTCATTAACACTTGCTTAAGGGGCCCCTTGAAGGAGGGTAGGGATGTCAGTGCCAGCTCCTGCTCTGGGTTTCCACTGTGGGAGAGTAATTTATCTTCAGTACAGCCTCCTCAGAAACCATACCAGTCAAGTTTGCTAAAGAAATGCACAGACCTGGTGTACTCTTTGACTGTCTTGGCCCTCATCTCTGCCTCCTCAGACTTTCTTATTCCACAACTTTTCTAAATGACATCAGTGCACCAATGGAATTCTTCGCTTCAGTATACCATTCAGGCCAAGAGCCAAGAAAAGGCATTAATGAGTCATTTTCAGCATGGGCCTGATGCCACGTATGCTGTTGTTCCCTTGTTAATTTCCAGGGGGTTGAATCAAGCCTACTAAAAAGGTGGTTGAGAAAGAGAGTGGAGCCACTGTGAAAGCCCTTTGGGAGTCAAAATACGCCTGCAACCTGAATGAGAGTCTGGGAAGGATGGTTGCTCCATAGAAAGCTGGAGAATTCACATATTTGCCCCACTTGCAAAGCCATGTCAGAATGACCTGAAGGAAAGCTTCACTGTCTCTCTACTTTTTCATTTCATTTAACTTTCTCTGCATAGGTCTCTTCAGAGGAAATTACCTGTGCAAGGAGTCCTGGCTGGATCTGAAGAGGCTGAGCCCCTGGAGCCTGAGTGACTATTGGAACGGCGTTCTCCATCCTCACAGAATACCCAGCATGCTTCGAAGGCGAGGCTTGTAACCCTAGTCCATAAGGAGAAAAAGTACAGATTTAGCCATCAGCAGCTGCTCATGGACCGGACCACTGATTTTGAGAGGTACTAAACACTTAACAAGTCTTGCTGAAGTCAACTGGAACTGCAGGCCTTCTGCCTCTTTGTTAATCAGACCTTAGGTTCCTAGTTATTAAATCCTGGCAGTGACATCTACCAGCTTTGGCAAGCTCAAAACATGATAGGGCCAAATAAAAAGACACTTTCAAAGAAATTAAGAAATTAACCTTATCTAAATCTTGTGCATGCATGTCTCTCTCAAACCCAGTATAGATCTCATACTATAATGTGCACCTGGGAGGACTTCCATAAGAAGGGAGTTAATAGTTTGTTTTCTAATGAAGCCCATTGTTTTCTGGTTTGACTAAAAGCAACAACCATAGATAGTTAGAAAAACACACTATTGCATGAGCATACTGTCTAACAATGAAGGTAGGAGAATGGAAATCCAGAATAGAAAGTTCAGCTCTTACATTCTACCGTAAAATTCCAGCTCTTGTGAAGACAAAGAAATTTAGGCTTCAACCAGCCTAGCATGCTACAACCGACACTGCCTCCACCACTCTACGTGGAAGGTCATGTGTTCTAACTCCACAACTCTAAACCCTAAACTGTCCTCGTTTCTAGGACAAATGTTTTCAGCCTCATTTTAACCACATGACCAAAAAGGAGTAAACCAAAACTTGTCTATTTCTTAAGAGCATCAAGAAACACACCTACTGTTTCCAGAGCACCTGTTATAAAAAAGGGCTGGAGAAATGAAAAAGCTACTTCAGAAATATGGCCCCACCAGCACCAAATGTCAGGTCTTGGCTGGACTGCAGACCTCTCTCCATTAACAGCTCCTGGTGATTACACTAGGTGGGCATAACCCCTAGCATAGAGAGTGTGCACCATGGCAAATTCTTTGGGTTTCAAAGAGGGTTAAGCTCCACTTGTACAAATAATGGTTATGTCTGTCAACTCAAGGGGTGCAGCTACACTGTTGACTAGCCACTGACATTCACAACTGGAGCAAATATTCAGTCTACACAGCTGACTCTCCACAGCACTAACCTACTGGGTTATCTTTCTGAAAGTGGACCACTGAGTCACCTTGGAACTGGTTATTAAAGCATTCTCCTGTTTCCCTGTTTACCCAAATGAGGCAGAGGTTCCTCAAAGTACTCTGGCCAGGGGCAAAAAATAACAAAGCAAGGAAGCATCACAATCACACAACCAACCCTCTTATGCATCAATCCTATAGGTCTAGGTGTTCTCCCACCTAGATCATTTGAGAAATACTTGCTAGAAGGAGTACTCAGATGAGAAGTATGTTAAACAACTGAGAGACTAGCTGCCCTGTTTCTTACCTTGGAAGCCTGGAGGGCAGACGATGAGGGCTTGCTGGAAGGGGTCAGGCCGAGCACAGATCTGCGCTGTTCCTGTCTGTAGGGGCATGCTCCGCTGGGCTACCGCAGCCATGGACGCCGCTGAGGGCTGGTAGAGTGCAGATTGGTAATTTAGTATGGAGACTTCAGGGTTGGCTAAGGAAATAGTGGCACTGGTAGAGGTGGGAGCCAGGTTGGTGGCCTAAAGGAATGATGGGAATTAAACAAAACAAAAAATGAGGGAGATGGTATGTTGGAAGAAGCGAATCAAAAATAAATGAATCTCGGTAAAACCATCAAACACAAAATAAATGAGGAGCAAAATGAGGAGGCACAGAGGCCAGGACAGGTGACATGGGTGCATGAGTAAAAGGATCATGCTAGGCATAAACAGTAAGGGCTTCTACAAACTGGGGCTGCCTCCAAGCACATCTCTATGCGTCTCCAGAGCCTGGAAAATGGGGAGCAGGGCCAAAAGGTAAAGAGTGTCAAGAAGGAACTGGTCTCACAGTCAAGCTATCATCTCCACCCCATACACCACAAGGCCTCAGAAAATGCTCTATTCAAGAGTTGTGTGAAACTCAGTACTCCCCCCAGGGAAGGGTGACTTGTGTGGATGTTCCCTTCATACCTCTCAAGTTATACTTTGAGCCTGAAGGAAACCAGATAGCATGCAACTTGGTAATGTTCACTGTAATTTTTTAAAGGGCCCCAAGTTTCACTTGGCTTCACACTGAAACCTTTAATGAGAAAATTTTGCAGGAGACAGATCAAAGACCATTCATCCAACTCTGCTCAAAGTGCCTTCAATATGGAGACTGGGAACAACAAAGCTCCAGTGGGAACACAATATCAAATTAGAACAACCCCCACTTCCCACCTCTGCTTCCACCTGCTCACAAACCCACTGGAACCAGCCCTGGAGGACTGTAAGCACTGCGGACACGCAGGGGTCCTCAAGGAAAGTCTTATGACTAGAAAGTCCACAGAGACCGCAGCACCAGAGCCATGTGCTGCCTCCATACCAAGACTGCTACCTGTACTGCAGCATTACAGCCACTAGGTAGTACAAGGGTGTCCACCACCTCCTCTTTCTCCTCACTCCAGAGTGGTACAAGTGGAATGAGTTCCTCCACACAATACACCAAGCAGCAACCACAGCCACTCCCACAGTGACCTCCGGGAGTATCAAATGGGGAAGGAGACAAAACCCAGAGATTTTGTAGCGGTAGGGGACACAGAAGAGCCAAGACTGGTTGTATGGAAGAATAGATGCTGTGACTGAGTAGGCAAGTAGGGGTTCATTGTCCATCTGATAGACATTCCAAAAGAGGAGAGTAGGACATGTGGGTGGTGCCTGTCTAGGAATAGGATGGATAAGTGGGAAGGGGAGTGGTGGGAAGAAAACATTTCAACTAATAGCTCTACCCTCTCAGCCAAAGAAATAGAAGCGTCTCCCTCCCCTGTAAGTATTTTTCAGAAATTCTTTGAGAAAGCTGCAGATATCAGCCCTGCCTCTAACAGAAAACCTTTAGAAGAATTCAGAAATTTTCACTGAGCCACCCATAGAAACTACATGCTCCTTTTTACTGAAAGGATATAAGGCTGTATTTTTCTTCAAAACAAAAAAAACCCCACACAGGCACACAATCATGGAAATATAAAATGTAGCTGGACACCCAACCCATCAATGGGAGAGGAATCACTATGACAAATAGCCCCTGGGTCTGTTTTTTGGAAAGTCCCATACTGAAAACACCACAACTGGCAGAGCCTCCCAGACCTCGGTAATTGGTGGAAACACAGGGACACATTCTTCTTTTCTTTCTCATCTTAAGCAGGATTTCACTCTGCTAAGGGTCTTATGAAAAGGAACTGCTAGTGAGGCACAAGGTGAGAGACTCCAGTCTCTAATTAACTTGTGCTGTTTGGTTATAGTGAATGGTATCACAGCCCAGAGGCTTGGGAAAAAGTTACCAACAGGAAATTGGCAAGTTCATGAGCAACCTTACTCTCCACCCCAAATTCTAAAAGCAGACAAGAAAGAATGGATACCAACATTTACAAATGATGGCCTGCCACATCAAACCACAACCAACGAATGACCTACCATTGCATACACTGATGTGTCCTCTACTTAATTAATTATTTCTACTAACCTTTTTGAACCACATGTAACAGTTGAGCCAGCATGAAATCTGAATTTCACTTTGTAAACCTGGATAGAGTCTTTCAGACTTTCCATTTCTGTGGTACTGTCAATTCCACAACTGTATTTGTGACCCTTATGGCTTCTTCTTATAGTACAAAAGGAGACTCCCAGAGCGATCTGCTCTATAAAAACACTAAAGAATGGCAGCTGCACCTTGCTTCAGTATAAAGACAGATAAATTATATCAATTAAAGGGAGTGAGGGTTCTTCTGCATGTCAAACAGTTGTTTGGCAACTGTTTGCTGTGTGTCTACTACCCCACAGTAAGCAGAAGCTAAATCGGAGCAACTTACCCTTGAATGGAGCAGGAGTAAGTGGCCCCAGTTTAGCTTTAACTTACTGGAAGATAGGAGTTGACTTATAACAAAGTTGTCATACAACAGCTGTTCCCCTCCTGCTCTTTTAACTCAGTATAGTTTGCTCATCAGTCCATACCCTCAGTGTCCTACAGTCCTATCCCTAAAAGCGTACCCTTCCATTTAGGGCACCTTTATACATGCGGCAAGGCTGCTCCAATGCGCTATAATTACATTAATTAGATTAATTGAGTCTGCTGGAGTGTGGTAATTACCGTGCTCCAGCAGACTCTAGTGTCATGTATATCAGCATCCCTGTGCTGAAAAATGGCAGTGGGGGCACTTTAACTAAAGCACCCCCACTGTCATTTTTCAGCATGGGGACTCTGATACACTTGATGCTTCGGGCCTTTAATTAGAGTGGCTCTTGGAGCCGCTCTAGTTAAAGCACACCCTCCCCCCCATACTCTCAGAGCACATGCATAAATGCCCTTAACGACTATAATACTAGGTTAAACCATTTATGTTGCTTTTGTTTAAGCCATGCCAACACTGCACACATCCAGAGGGCATCTCTCTACCTGGGGCAGCCACAGTGCATAGGCTGTCACTGTGCTGATGGTGGCAGCAGTGTGTTTAGCTGTCACTGCAGCAGCAGCAGCAGCTACTTTTGTATCTTCCTGCAAGTTGTACAAGTTGTACCTCCTCCCCCAACCATGCCCCTCAGTTATGCTAGTGCATACATTCCCTTCTAAAATCACTGGAGAAACTCTGTGCTGATATACAAGGCCAAGGTAGAAACAGAAGACACTAATGCAGGCTACACAGTGTTCAATGTAGGAACTAGCTATGTGTTTGTACAGTGTCAAGCACAACGGGGTGCCTCTCAGTTGGGACTTCTGTCCTGAATTGTAAAGGCTAATGATACATAAGAATAAGGAATACTACCAAACTGTCAGAGAAGGAGAGTCTAAGACCTTATTTTTGCTGAAGTTATACAAAGGTTTTTAGTTATCTTCTGTTTGTTATATAAAGGTTTAGTTTTACCATAGTCATAATCTGAGCAAGTACTGTAAGATCCCAAATACACCTGTTTGATTGTCACCAAGCAAAATCCTACTTGTTGCATCAACAGACACACCTATCAGAGCTTTTTTTCCATAGCAACTTTCCGGGTAAGTGGGATTTATCATCCTGAACACTGGCAAAACAAAGCACATTTCATAAGCACACAGTGCAACACAGAACTACACCTCTTCTTTGTGAAAGGCTAAACAGAGCTCAGGGAAGAAGATGAGGTACAACCACACCAGCTTACTATGTGTGTATTGAAAGAGGCACTACACCTCTGCTCTCCATTTTCTAGGACTCTGTGGGGTAAATCTCTATTTTTTCAGGCTCTGGTCGTTCCCAACTACCTTACCTGATTGTGGACAGTGTTCAGCTGGTTGTTAAAGGTCATGGTCAGGTTGGTAGATGTGCTTGGTGCCACATGGGTAATGAATGGTGTCTTGCTCTGGTTCACCGTGTCATACATATTCACTCGCCGCTTACAAATCTCCATGTTCTGGAAACAAGACTTGACGCTGTTTATAGGAAGGGTGTGAAAAAAAGAGACAGAGAGAGAGAGGAGACACAGACCAATGAGTAATGTTAACAGGCAACCACAGCTACCTAGCATTTTGTCACTTTGAGCCAAGTAATTAAGGCAAGCCGGAACTTCCTAAACTAAAGGCAGGGTAAATTTGCACTTTATAGACTAACTACATCAGAAATATACAGCATAAGTTTCCATGAACTCAAGCTCACTCTATCAAATGCTCTCTAGACTCAGTGCTCCCCAATTTGTTTGAATGGTCCCTTTCTCCCACATGGTCCCACAGCCAGTGAGAGTCAGGCTCTTGATGACTGTATTGGAAGGGAATGAGCAAAAGTTTGAACTAAGAATGCTTGGTTCAGGATTCGTGAAGACCACATCCAGCATGAGTGCTGCAATCTGAGTCATGGTCAGGCACAGCCAAAGCTGTCAGACTTTGGATAGGAGGGAAAGAAAATCCACCCGAGAAACGTGGAGTCTTTTCTGATAGTCTGCGAATGAGAATGCTGGAAAGAGATCATATAAATCTTTCCTCGTATGAGGCTTCTTTGAAGGCTGCTTTTAGTGTCTCTTCCACTTGTGAGGAAGTCTTTTGCTGTGCATGACCAATGAGACATCTGAAATCTAACTTGTCCCTTTCAAAAATATTGCTCCTGTAGAACTTGAGGCATTTAGCCCATTGGTCCAAGTCCAGCAAAGCACTAAAGCACATGCTTAATTTTAAGCATGAGTGAAACCATTAAAGTCAATGGGGTTACTCCCATGGCTCAAAGGGATGGTAGGATCAAGTTAAAATGCTCACTGTCCTCCCAAATTCAGCTCTGAGGTTGCCCCAGAATCTGAGCCAACGCATAGGGAGTGTTGGGCTCTCCACCCCATCATCTATCCATGACACAAAAAATCCTTACACTTTACTTACCAAATTTTATTTTTTTCAAAATGTTCTGAATATGACATTGGAAATATAATGCCTTTTATCTTCAGTAAACGCATACAAATCTTTTTTTGCTCTGCTACCTCACCTTCCTTGTGAGGTAAGTATTTTCATTATTCCTTTTTTACAATTGAGGGAACTAAAGCACACAACAGTGAGAGAGACTTATTTTGGGCAAAACCTTATATTTTTCATAAAAACTTGATTTTACGACAGGTGAAGACCAATAAGATATATCCATAATTTTGTTCTAAAATTCAATTTAAAGGGTTATTTTTCAAAAATAATTTCTCACAGATGCTCAGACTTGGGTTTCTAATTAAGGATTTGGACTATAAGCAAAACATAGATAAAACAAAGATAAAACTGATTTCTTTGATTTCATAATCTAAACAGAGAGAAATTTAAAGAAGTAATGAATATGAGCATTAAACTTTTAAAATATAATTTAGCTTTTAATAATCCAGGATGTTTCATATTCAAAAAAGCACCTGGAGAGGGGACAAAATAGGACAGAAGGACTGTGGCATTTCAAGATCCATGCAGTCAGATATGGGGAGCTAGAAGTCAGATTTGTTTTGTGGCTTCTTTGGACCTACTCCCTCAAGAGTTGGGCCTTGCAGTCCTTACTCTGAACCATGCTACCATAGAAGCTGCTTCCAGAAACTGTGTCTTTCCTATATGTTCATTTCCTCTGCTTCCTGATTTACTTTCAAGAAGATTACAACTCCCAGAATCCCTCGGGTCTTTGAAGTTTCTATTCCCAAAAACAAGGACAGTTATAGACAAGACTTTAAATCAACCTGCCTACATCAGTTAAAGCCTGTGGTCCTGACCACAATCAAAATTTCTGATACAGAAGGAGCGTGCAGTAGTAACACACCAAGCTGGTAACATGTTCCTTATCTAGCATATTCGTCCCATTTTTTTTATACAGGTAAAATTCCCACTGAGCCCTCCCTGGGTAAAAACTTCCATCTTTGTTGGGAGTTTTGCCTGAGCAGAGTGTAAGTAAGAACTTCAGGAGTGACATCCATTGAAATCAGTCAATTGAAATCAATGGAAAGTTTCCTTATGGCAATGGACTAAGGCCAAAATCTCTAAAATTTTAAACAGTTGCCACACATAAAAAGGATTGTTGCCAATAAAAAGCACATTACAGAAAATCAAAAATAGATTTGTGTGTATTATTTTCATATTTTCATAAAACACTGTAATGCTTTATTTATGAACAGTTTTACATAAAAGCAGTTTGCCCCTCTGTTTATAGCGATGATCTATCTTACTATGTTTCTGCTGCATTTATTAAATCAGAATCTGTGCTTATATGGCCTCCTTAATTACAGACTGCCTTACAGTCTTTAAGGTATTTATTCTCACCGCACCCCTCTGAGACAGGACGATACTAGTATGTCTGTTTTACCGATGGGAAATGAGGTGCAGAGAAACAAATGGCCAGACTGCTGCTACCTAAGGATATGTTGCTGCCTAAGGATGCAAACAGGTTTTCTGTGGGGCTTTGAGGACTAGATACCGAACTCCCATTGAAATCAACTGGAAATAAGTATCTTTTGCTTCAGAAAATCTCTCTGAAAGCTTATCTGCATTTGTAGGAACCTTCACACCTTTAGAAAATCTAGTCCTAAGTAACTTGATCAAGGTCATATTGATGTCTATACCACAGTAGTGAACTGAACTCAGGTTTCCCTCATGCTAGGCTAGTGGGCTCTGTGGCACTGGCCTTACTGTAAATGAGAGTCAGGCCTTAGTGAACCACGTTTCATAACATTGCTGGGACGCCATTCAACAGATGTAGAAACTTCTTCAAGTGATTTGCTCAAGACTGCATAGGCAGTCTGGTACAGAGCTAGGAATTGAACTCAAATTTCTTGTTACCAGTGCTTTACTTTAAAACTGGGGTCCTCAGCAAGCCAGTCACAAACAGGTATCAGGGGCCATAACCAAAATACCCTCTCCAGCTAGTTAAAATGGTGAAAGCCTCTGAGCCAGGGCTCTAAGCAGGACGCAGGTATGTAGGAGAGGGGAGGTTTCCACTATGGATCAGGTTGAGAACCACTGCAATAGCTATGGAGGACTCTGCTTCCTCTTCCACATGCACTAATTCATGGATCCAGTATTAACTGGACATATTTTTTCTGCATTTTAGTGTGGATGGATGTGATTATTGAATATTATAATACACATAGTGTGTTCTGCAGTAGTTTGGAGTGCCATGTAACTGCAACAAGTTTCTTATTTGTGCTAGATTTAGTACTTTTTAAAAACAAAAATAATATCTTTACATCTAAACTTCTAAATCCTGTTACTAGGCCCTTGTATCTACCTAGCCACAACCCAGTGCCCCCCATATCCTGTAGGGTTTTTTTTCTGTCCAACACCCCAAACAAGATAGAAAACAGGAAGCATACTGTGTGCTGTGGGGAAAATCAAGCAAATGCGTCATGGTGACAAAGGGGTGGTTCAGAGTTTCAATCGGTGTTATTCTTTTATCTGCATCTATAGTCAACATCTTCTTTAACAGATCTATAAACTCGCGCCGGTCTGCCTTTTCCACCAACATATCACTTCCTTCCAAATCTGTTGTCATATTCACCTGGAAGAGAAAGGACAATCACAACAATTAAAAGAAAAAGCAGATGGTCAGGTCTCCAACAGATCACATCCTTTCCTGGCTGAAGCATCTTTACAGCATGTTACCATCTCTAGTAGGGTAGCGCCTAAGGTCACAAGGAAGACTGAGGTGGCCAATCATTGGCATCTGGCTAGTGCAAGCCAAGTCTCTAGACAGGCAGTTATGTATTTAGCTCATTTGGGTCAATGGATAATGAAGCTCTTAGTTACCCTTCACTGAAGATGAACAGATTCTGTGTAGTAACAGACAAGCTCTGACAATCATTATGTATCATATAAAGCACTATACAATTAGACTACTTAATTGTGTGTCCCATGACACGAAAAAGTAGATATCAGCAATGTTTCCTATAAACCTACTAGTTATCTATCAGGTGCTGGGAAGAACCTTCATTTCATCTGATCAATTTATTCAAGTCTTTCCTAATCCCAACCCTTCATTTCTGTGGATTAAAAATACCATGGGTAGATCTTGTTGGTGTTAACTTAAATATACCCTGACCAAATCCACTATCAAAACAGGAAAACAATAGTATTAAGCAGCAACAGCACTTTTCTTCCACAGAAAGCAAATGCTTTACAAAGCGGGTACACATTATCATCATCCCCATTCCACAAGCTGGGAAAATGAGACAGAGAAGTTAGGTAATTTATCCAAGGTCACACAGAAAGTCAGTGGCAGAAACAAGAACAGAATTTAAACCTTTTGAAGCTCAGCCCTGTGACCTTGCCTCATAATGACAGTGCCACCTTATATCTCTTTCAGCACTAACCCTGGCCCTGTGTGCAGACCCCCATAGCAGCACATGAAAATTGGGAGCCACCTGGACAGGTATAGTCTTGGTTTTTCTCAAGGGCTTCTCCTTTGTTTGCCTTGCCCAGAAGCATGTGAAGCATTCTTGCTTGTTTTTCACCAACATTTTTACCTGTGCCATATCATCCAAACAGTTGAAAATGTACTTCCTTGCTTCCTTCGACTTAATCCCCGTCTCTGCCTCATGATCATCTGGTGTCTGCTCGAGACAGGAAAAAGCCGTTTAGCAGAGCTGCCCTATATTTAAATACAAGTGATGTGCCAGCCCAAACCGTGCACCCCTTTAGAGAATGTTCCATATCTCTTGCCTGACTGTTTAACATAAATAGCACTATATACAACATAGTGGCCTCCCTCTACATGTTATAATATTGTGCAATTACCTGATTAACTGTGCAATTGCCTTAAGACCAGCTACATGTGCAAAGTAAGTAGCACACCATAAAAAGCTCCAACCAGCTATGAAGTTAGTCCTTGAAAATGTGTACTAACCTTCTAACTGGTTGCTATTGAGCTTTAATTTGTAGCAGGGTCTCCTCTATGGCTGGAATCCCTGTCAGCAGCCACAGGGCTGCATCATACTTAGCATGAAACCCCTGGGTCAGGAAGATGGTGGGGGTGTCATACACTCCTAAGCCTGGGAGGTCACAGCTGCCACAATCCCACAGACCTCAGGGTTTCACACACCCCTGAGCCTGGGAGACTGCAGTAAACACAATCCCCCAGGCTTGGAGGTTTCACACGCCCCCCACCCCAAGTGTGGGAGATTGTGGCTGCTGCAATCCCCCATATGGCACCCCCAGGGCTGGGAGCCTTTCAGCTGAGGGGGCTTCCACCTGTCACAGCTTGCTTCTTGGTCGTGCAAGGGGAGCCCAGGATCAGCATCAGCAATAAGGTACAATGGGATCTAATACATGACTCCACAATTGTGCATCCTGCCATGCACGTGTGGCATGGCAAGAGATGCAATTGTGTGGATTGCACATTAGATCCTATCACACCTTTACCTGCGCATGTAAAGGGGGCCAGTGTTTGGTATACTTATATAGCTCATCTCGTATCCAAGTGTCCCGAAATGCTTTCTCTCCTCCTCTACAGGCCTTATATCCCTATGGTGCCTTACTGAACCCTTCTCCATTTTTGCTTTCCTTACTGAACCCTTTCCCATACGTAAGGCCTATGCAACATCCTGTCAGCCAGGAAACTAAACAGGAGTCTCCTCAGAGCCCAAAGACCCCACTCTTTGTTAAGCTAAAGGATTCAGTGTTGAGAAAACCAGGCACTGATTGGCTAAGGAGTTGGCTAAAAGGAGCTTAAGATGGGTTACTTTGAAATGTGAGTTATCTAACTGCACAGCAATTATGCAGTGATTGGTCTTGGAACTCATCCTGTTTAATATTTTCATTAGAGAGTTTGGTGCAAGAACTAGATGTCTTTATGAAATGTGTAGACAGTAGTAAGATGGAAGGCATTGCTGATATAAAGAAGGACTAGATGATTATACAATAATAAATAGGAGTTGGAGCTGGAGTATTGCATCCAATTCTGGGTTCCACATTTTGCACCAGGCTCCACTCCCATGCATCAGGAACTGGGAGAACATCTGTCCACCAGGGCACCCCAAGAAAAGACAAGGTCTAATGGTCACAAACTGCTGGAATCCCATTTTAGACTGGACATAAGGAAAAACATCTTTACTGTCCGAGTCTCCAGAGTCTAGAATAGACTCCCCCCAGAAGTGGTACAAGCACTACGCGGAGGACGTAGTCTTTTTGGACTTTAGGAAGGCCTTTGAAACCATCTCTCACCTCATCCTCATTAAAAAATTAGGCGACTGTGGTGTCAATGCCTACACAGTCAGATGGGTCACAAACTAGCTGGAGGGCCGCACCCAGAGAGTGGTGGTGGACGGGTCATTTTTGACCTGGAGAGATGTGGACAGTGGGGTTCCCCAGGGTTCGGTCCTAGGGCCCGCACTGTTCAATATCTTCATTGGCGATTTGGACAAGGGGTTGAAAAGCACCTTGTTCAAGTTTGCAGTTGACACTAAAATGTGGGGAGAAGTGAGCACGCTAGAAGTGAGGGACAGGCTACAACTAGATCTGGACAGGTTACAGAGGTGGGCAGATGAGAATAGGATGGGTTTCAATACGGACAAGTGCAAGGTGCTGCACCTGGGAAGGAAGAACCAGCAGCATACCTACAGGCTGGGGAACTCCCTTCTTGTCAGCACACAGGCAGAAAAGGATCTTGGTGTCACTATTGATTCCAAGATGAACATGTGCTGCCAATGTGGGGACGCGGTCAGGAAGGCTAACCATACCTTGTCATGCATCCATAGATGCATCACGAGCAGGTGCAAGGAGGTGATCCTCCCCCTCTATGCAATATTGGTCAGGCCACAGTTGGAGTACTGCATCCAGTTTTGGGCGCTGCACTTCAGGAGGGATGTGGACAGCATTGAGAGGGTCCAAAGGAGGGCCACTTGCGTGATCAGGGGGCAGCACGGCAGACCCTATGAGGAGATGCTACAGGACCTGAACCTGTTCAGCCTCCACAAAAGAAGGCTGAGAGGGGATCTGGTCGCTGCCTATAAACTTGCCAAGGGGGACCAGCAGGCAATGGGAGAGTCCCTGTTCCCCTGAGCACTATCAGGGGTAACAAGGAACAACGGCCATAAGTTGACTGAGAGTAGGTTCAGGCTGGACATTAGGAAGCACTACTTCACAGTCAGGGCCGCTAGGAGCTGGAACCAACTTCCAAGGGAAGTGGTGCTCACCCCTACCCTGGAGGTCTTCGAAAGGAGGCTAGACAGCCACCTAGCTGGGGTCATTTGACCCCAGCATCCTTTCCTGCCCATGGCAGGGGGTCGGACTTGATGATCTGCTTAGGTCCCTTCTGACCCTACCAACTATGAAACTATGGATTCCTTTAAGAAATGGTTGGATGCTTATCTTGCTGGGGTAATCTGACCCCAGCTGACTTCCTGCCCCTTGGGCAGGGGGCTGGACCCGATGATCTCGTGAGGTCTCTTCCAGCCCTAATGTCTATGAGATCTATGAAATAGATAACCTTGTTGAGTGGAGCAGTAGAAATGATCTGAAATTTAATAGTATAAGGAACAACACTGAGAACTTGCACTACTAGATGGGAATTCATTTACTGGAGGCAGCAGAGGAGAAGGACATAGTTATATTGACTGATTATAGGATGACCATAAACTATCAATGTGATGAAGCCATGAAGAAAGCTAACACCTGATGTTCCTGTGTGGCAAGAAAGGTACATCTAGTAAAGACAGGGACATATTAGTACTACTACACAAGGCACTGGTACGATAACATTTAGAATAATGTGTAGGATTTTGATTGTCTCTCTTCAAAAAATAAATTTAAACTTGAACAGGTATAGAGAAGGGTTATTAGGAGGGTTAGTGGATTGGAGAGTCTCTCTCATGAAAGAAGACTAAAAGAGTTTGGCTAGATTAGCTTGGCAAAATGAGGGTTAAGAGAGGATGATTACTCTTTATAAATCTATTCACAGGATGAAAATCACTGAGTGAAACACTATTTAAGTTAGAAAAGATTAACGGCACAAGATCAAATGCATACAAAATGGTCAAAACGATGACTAAAAAAATGAAAATGAAAATCAGAAAAAGGTTTTAACCATTACAGCACTGAAGTTACAGATTGGTCTTCTGAAAAAAAAATTATGAGAGCAAAGAATGGGAATTGCTTCATGATGAAGCTCAACAGGTTTACAGGAGAGATAATATAATAGGAAAGGCATGTTCTAGGTATAGTAATCTGAGTGTCATATGTGATTCTGAGAACTTGGTATCTCCATATAGGGATTGAAAGGAAACTTAATATCTGGATGGGAGGTAGCTGAAGTCCCCTGCTCGGAGGTTTCTTCTAGTTACCTGTAGGGACTAACAAGGTTTTTTTTTCCTTTCATGAAAACATTACAAGATTTCCTCTAAAGCACTGGGCATTGGCCACTACTAGAGGTGGGAGTTTGGCCTAGGTGTACCAGTTCTATTAAGGTGCTAACATCTCAGATGCACAGAATTCAACCTATTGCCAAATTTGGGAGCAGGAAATAGTTTTTTTTCCCAGGTCAGACTGGCATTGACTGTGGGAGCTGCAGGCAGGGGAATGGGGTGGAGAAGGGGTGGAGGTAGGGCAAGGTAGTCTTTATCTGCATGATCTTCATCCTAAGAGGGAAGAGGTGGTAAGGGCTTAAGGCTGCAGGGAGGCAGGGAAGAACAGGGAAGTACAGTAGGGGCAGAGCAAATGAGTACAGTAGGGGCAGAGGGGAAGTACAGTACAGGCAGCAGCTATGGCTCTGGCCCCAACCCTGGAGTTGCAGCAGTTGCCTTCCCCACCACCACCTCATACTCAAATCCAAGATGAGGGGCTATGTTTAATGGGGGGGGGGGGGGTGGATCCCCATCTTGGATTTGAGCAAATCTGGTATTTAACTGGTTCAGATGAAAGCGTGTTTAACTAAACAGAAATAAAACCCATCCAGAGGCAGATTTTATGTAAATTAAGCATCATTTCATCAGTCATAAATCTCAGCTACAAAGAGCAAAGATACAAATGACAATCCCAGAATAACAGGATATTTCTCTCTCTAAACCAAATTTTAAAAGTCCCCCATACACAATTAAAGCCTGAACTGTTCCCAGTGGAGTAGATTCTAAGGTAGGACTTAAAGGGAGTCTTTACACGTGCTCCAAGGATGGGCAGAGGAGAGTGGGGAGAGGGGGGCACTTTAATTATTGCAGTTCTGAGAGCAGCTCTAATTAAAGTGCCTATAGTGTCTGGTGTATTCAGTGTCCTGCACTTCAAAATGGTGGTGGGGGCACTTTAACTAAAGTTCGTCCAACAAGCTTTAATGAAAAACACCCTTGCTAGTATTCTGAAGCATGGGGAAGCTGAATACATGAGATGCTGAGGCCACTGGAATGCGCTAATTAGCATGCTTCACCAGACTCGATTAATCGAGTCTGCAATACCAAGGCAGTACCAAGGTCTGCAGTATCTTGGCAATACCAAGAACTAACTATAAAACCTTCAGGCCAGTCAAAGTTTGCATAATTCTGTCACGGTAGTCTTATCTCAGCTTGTACCCCACTCCCCACCAGTATCTCAGTTATGGGAAGTGTGTCTATGCACTGCAGAGAGATGAGATCTGGGCCCTGAATTCACCAGAGTGTCACCTTATTTCCAACCTACTGTTGCAAGATGAAGGAAACATCTTCCTACCTTCAGCCTCCACAAAGGATACGGTGAATCTGTATCCCTGTTGAAAAATCTTGTAGTCTTTGTCCCTGCGCTTAGCAAATACTCTGCCGGTAAGCCCTGTGTCTGTGAAATATAGCGAATCTGTAAGAGAAGGATGAGGAGTCACTGTTCAACCTGTGACAATTTCTGGTGGTTTCCCTTTTGGGAGGACAGAAGGTATATAAAACAATGGAACAAAGCAAGAAAGAGAAAAATGTATACCACTAATCTTTAGTGAGGACACAGTAACAGGAACAATAAGCAAGAGAATTCTCATACACCTTAACAGACTTCCTCCCTTTATCATTAATGTCTATGGGCATTTCCCCTTAAAATCTATACAATATTCTTCCTTTCTCTTTTAAATATATGGATAAGAAGGAATTAAGTGCATGTAGACATTAGAGGTTAAAGAATATTCACGGATTTAAATAGTAAGCTTTCACTGATTTTTAAGAAAAATTCTCCTCTGTGAGGTTTACCATATCAATAATTTGATACTTGCGCTCTTCTTCCAATGGACAATACAGACTTTCTTAGGAGCAATTCAGAGGATAGGGCAGATAACTATGAAGCCAGTATCTGAACATAGGTGGCCTGTATATTCAGGCAAATTTATACCATCACTTTGTGACATATATTTAATTCGCAGTTTCCATATGGTTTACTGCACTTGTCCTGCCACTAACTTTCACAGACTGTCTCAATGGTATACCCAGGACTACAAGAGGCTACATGTCTTTTTTAAGAGCTTAGAGTTATTTAATGAAAAAAAAGGTATGCGACTACGTAATTAAAGACTGATATAATGCACAGATAGGCTGGCACATGAAATTTTAACTTTGGCCTTTCCTGACTTCTGAATGCTTCACTTTGCAAACTCAATATTCTTGTGTCATAGGAAATTCTTCAGAAAAGTAGTAAGTATTTCTGAAATGCAAAGGTGGAGGGGACAAAAATAAGTATAAGCTGAAGCTGCCAGGACATCAAATCACTGCCAGTCCTGGCTTGTTCAAAGCGCCTACCCTGTCTTTGGAGTTTTTTAAGTGCATTGGGGAGAGGGTCCCTCCTGCACTCCTTAGAAACTTCAAGAGCTGTTCTTCAGCCCACTCCCAACCTAACAAGCCTATAGAGTTGGAGGCAGAGGCTCAAATTCAGCTCCTGCTGATCTCTCAGCTCCACAGCTCTCCATAAACTCGACTAGAGCAGAGTTTCTCACTGTGAAGTGAAGTTAGCTGTGCTTGTATGTACAATGATTTCTTTCTCAGCTGTGCACTTTATGAGGTCTGGAATGGGGGGAAGCTACGCTTCAGGCTCGGTATGCGATTTTTCAAAGGCTCGTTCGTTTGTCAGCTCAAAACTGATTTCCTCTGGAACAGCTAATGGCACTACATTTTGCTGAAGGCTATTTCCATGCCAAATTTTACCTTTAAAGCATTGGCTAAAAAAACAATTAAAAAAAGAAGTGTCAGGAACATTTTCATAATGGGAAATATATATATATATATATATATATATTTTGCCCTACTGTCCTTTTTTTTTGCACTTCCTGCAAAAAGACCTCTTTCAGAACTCAAGCCTACAGTTGCAGAAAGTCATGAACAACTGAAAAAGGTGATTAGAACTGAAACTGTTATGCAGTCTGACCTGTCAAAGCTGCTGCATCATTTGTTATAGATATAAGAGGAACATAAAAGGCTACGCGAATGGAGATATGAAGATCTACATTGCTATGCGAATTCTCTTTCTTGTCATTCCTTTTAATATATGTCTTCATAAGGGGGATTATGGAAAGCAGTAGAGTTCACACAATTTCGCATAATATATCAAATAAACCCTTATTTAATACTTGCTGTTACAGTGGAGTAAGGATGTTGCTTTGTTCAGTGATTAGAGATCATCTACAGAGCTTTCTAATCAACAGGAATTTATACTTTTGATTGGCAGTTCACTTAGACAGTCAGTCCTTAAAGGCACAGTACTAAGAATCTTACTGGTTACCTAGAATATTACAGGTGGATAAGGAAAAGGTTGTTTTAGAATAATAAAAAACAAATGAAAATATCTTCTGCCAGCAAAGAATACCAAGGTAACAATGTGTTCATTATTTCTTATACAAGAAGGAAAAAAAATCCACTGTACTTTGATCATTAGCTACTTCACCTTCAGCATCCATACCAACCTGATCATACTCTGAAGCTCCTGGGTATAAAGGCCACCCCAAGAACAACTCTGCAATGACACATCCCAGTGACCACATATCAATTGCTTCACAGAATGGTAAACCAAGGATGATTTCAGGGGCTCTGCAAAAGTAAAGGATAGAAAAAAAATGTCACCATTGTTAAACACACTTGCCATTTGTTGAGATCCATGTAAAACAGTTATACCCAAGAAACCATATGCAGTACACAGCTGCCCAAAAGTGGTGATATACTGTGAACAACAAGTTAGCTGGTCTAACAAAACCCAAGAACTATGCTACATATTCTAACACTCCATCTGGTACTGGCAATGTATCTATTAATGAACCCACTTGGCATATATAAAGGCATTGCCTTTACAGGGTACTCCTGGAACAAAACTTAGTCAAATTATGGTAATACTATTGAGTCCTAACATTTCACTATTCATCAACATTTCATCTATAGATTTTAAAACTCTTTACAAAGGACAGAACTTTCATTATTTCCACTTTGCAGAAGGGGGAAACTGAGGCCCCAAATGAGGAGAAATGATTTGCTAGTCTCAAACAACTAAAAATAGAATGAAGTTTCCTGATTCCTCATCTCCAGTGTCCTAGTTGCCTTCATTCACAGAACTTGAACTGCTTTATAAATGTTCATACCACATTTACTTGAATACCTGACAAGGTTCCCCCCCACTTGCAATTGGCATGGGGAAAAAGCCCCTCATCTTATAATCGCATACAACATCTCACTAAATACATTGGCTATCATTCAACTGCTGATAAAAGCAGCATGTGCTCAGCAATGGAAACCAACTATGAAGTTGATTAAATGCAATCAACACTAAGCACTACTATAAAATACATGGTCCACACGTTGGGCAAACATGTTGATGGGAATCTACTATAAGAACAGGTTAGTGTAGCCCATCTGAATAAGACATATGGTAGTGCCCAATAAGTGCAGTCCCCCTCACTGCCAACTCTTTTCCAAATCGTGGTAAGCCACAAAATTGCATATAGTTCAACCAAAATCCCTGTTGCCCCCTCTCTGGCACATATGATTAGTGTGGCCCTACCTCTATAAGGTGAAGCCAGACCAGGTCGCTGTGCCTCATCTGCATATACATCTTTGAAGCATCCCAAGACTTGTGACAAGAACACCTGCTTCCAGTCATGAGTGGGGGCTAATTAGTACATGGATCCTTTGTGGGGGTATCTGGAGTACAGGGTAGTGGGAGGAGAGGTGATGAGGGGGGCAGCCTGGGGTTGGAGCCAGACCCACAGTTGCTGCCTGCCTCTGAATGCTCTGCTACCCCTCCCCTGCAACCTCCAGTCTCTCCCCCAACACTGCTTCTCCCTCTCTGTCCCCCTCTGCTGCACTCCTCTTTACTTTTGCGCGGTGCCAACAGGCTCCATCCCTGCTGCACAGTGGCATGGAGCCGGCACTGTTATTCCAGTCTGGCCCCGTAGCAGCAGTGCTGGCTCTCCATTGCTCCTGCTATAGGGCCAGGCTGGAACAACAGTGCCGGCTCCACACCACTGCTATGGGGCCAGGCTAGAGCCATGCTCTGTGCCCTTGGCTGCAGCAGGGATGGGGCCTGTTGGTGCAGAGGAAAGGTAAGAGGGGACAAGGGTTGAGGGCAAGCCGGGGGGGAGAAACTTTGGGTGGGATGGAGATGGGAGGAAGGGGGACAGGGACCTGAGGCTGCGAGTGGCAGAAGTGGCATGGAGAGGGAAGGAGTGGGGAACAGGGGAAAGGGGAATCGGGGCAGCCTAAGACCGCAAGACGGAGGGCAGGCACAATGAGGGGTAAGTGGGGGAGGGGGACAAACTACCTGCCGCTATCATTGCCTGCCCCATTACTGCCTCCCACCTGTCCTCCCCCTTCTGCCTCCACCATTGTTTGTCCCCCACCACCTTACCCCATTATTGCCCCCCTCATCACCTCTCCCCATAGCTCCTGCAGTAATGGGGGGAGGGATGAATTTAATATGATCGTCTAATAATTAAATTCCACACCTGGAAAACTATAATAACTTTACAAATTTTCTGTGTGCAGAATCTAATTATTATGGGTCATCTTACATTTAGGGTCATCTTGTATTTGAGTAAATATGGTAGTCCTGTAAGGTATAAACATATTTTTTTTTACTTTTTTATATAGATGAGCACATAGGTGACATGTAAGAGGCGCACAGAGGGGCATGTGCCCCCCCTGAGTTTGGCCACCACTGAAGCTGTTACCAAGCTTCTGCAGGCGGTCGCTGCTCACAAGCCACTGCCGACGTGGCTGGTGGCGTCTGTGGGCAGTCACTGCTCGCCACTCCCCCATCCACCGCCTGTGGGTAGTCCCCACTTGCCGCTCACCACCATGGTGCCTCCCGCCTCCCCCCGCCCCCATCTTGGAAGGCACCAGTCGTTCATGGATTAGCACAATGTAAAACAGAGAAACAGCTTGGCACCAAGGCCACAGAGAGTTAGTGATGTTGGCAAAAACAGAACCCAGGAATCTTGCTTCTCAAGCCCATGTTCCAAGCACTGAACTACATTTCCTCTCTAGTTCCAGGTGGGACACAGCAAAAGGGGATGCTAACGCACCCCCCCCCCCAATCTATCTAGTCCAGTATATCTCTACTGTTTGCTTCAACCAATGCCAGTTGAGGCTGAACACACATCCATGTAGCATATTCCAGCATTAGATCTCCTATGAAAATGGAAAAGGAGGAAGGGGTAAAATGGAAAAGGAGGAAGGAAATAAAATATTTTATTTCTGAGAGGATTTAATACAGTACTTCACAATTAACTTAAGTGCTCACAAAGAGAAGCTATATCTTGCCTTTATCTGCAAAGTTTTAATCTATCCAGGTCACCTCCAGCAGATGCAACTGGTGCAAAGCTTTTCTTTTTTAACACAGAAAATTCTAGCATTAGAGAACTAAACCAAAAGCCCACATCTCTTAGACTGAGCGTCCAAAGACCCATGGACTCCTCAGCTGCTTTGTATTTTAATGGCAACACTCATCTAAGAACTTCAGAGCACTTTTCAAGAACTGAGAGATCCATTCTTATAGCACCCCAACAAAGACAATATGTATTGTTTGTTAATAACTGCATCCTTTTGCAGTTGGAAACTGAGGCACAGACCTGCTGCCTGATCTTATTATATTTCTTGCAATTCTCCCATGATGCTTTCCTAAGGTCCCAGCTCCAGGAATATGGAGACTGTGTCAGAATTTCAGCATTCGTTAGCTTTTTTTAAAGAGGACATTTCCAGGCCACATAGCCCCAACAAAAAACTCATGGGGTGCATCTACACATGCAATTAATGTGTCTAAATTTTTTTGTGAAGAAAATTCAGGCTTATTAAAATGCTTCCCAGTGGATGTCTACATATGCACCCTGGTCAAAAGCAAACTGAGCCCCAAAGGAGCAGCCCAGTCCAGGGCTGCTCCTGCCCTAATCTGCCCCCCTGCAGCAGGCAGGGGGAGCTCCAGGCTCCTCTGAATGCCAGTCCTGGGCTGTCAGTCCCCAGCTCTGGAGGGTGGGGGAGCCTGTCCTGATCTCCAGGTGGCTAGAAGACAAGGTCCTGTGGAGCTGGGACAGCTCTCCCTGCCCCCTGTAACCCTCTGCTGCCTAGGCTGGCTTACAGTAATTTGCTTCTGGTCAGCATCTATTGGTGCCTGTAGATGTGCTGCAGGGCTGCTCCAATGCACTGTAATCACAGTGCATTGGAGCAGACTCGATTAATCAAGTCTGCTGGAATGTGGTAATTACTGTGGTCCAGCCAGCCTTGGGGTCTTGTGTATTAGTGTCCCTGTACTTCACAGTGGCAGCGGGGGTGCTTGAACTAAAGCTCAAACAAGCTTCAGTTCAAGCGGCCCTGCCGTCATTTTAAAGCACAGGGATGCTAATACACAAGAGGCTGTGGCACTTTAATTGAAGTGGCTGTGGCGCTTTAATTTAAACCATCCCCTCCTACCCCCAGTGCACATGTAAAAGTGCTCTACACATGCACTTCAGCACATTAGGTTAATAAATTGATTTCTAGTACCTGTATCTACAGGTACTAGAAAATGGCGCATCAGACTAACCTACTGCACAGTGATTGCTATGCATGTGTAGATGGTGACACTTTACTGCACATTCGATTAGCATGTGCAGTAAAACATCTTGTGTAGATGCGCCATACAGATAAGCCTTAAGGCCTTGAAAAGCAAAAGGCAAATAAAGAGAATCTGAAAAGTATTGTTTTTAAAGCTTCATGATTTTAAAACCAGTCCCAGTTTCTGGGGGTCTGACTCATGGTTTCAGAATGTTTGAGGTTGGCAATACTCAACACAGCAAGTGCCTCTGCCCATGTTAGAGTCAGAAATAAAACCCGTGACTCCCAGCCTCCTCCCCTAACCACTGGGTTGTCTCTGAGACTATGCCATTTTTCACTGACACACCCCCAGGGGGCTCAAAACTCTCAACTGCAGTTGAAAACTCATGGTATTGCTTCCTCACGTAGAGACACATCTTCAGCAAGCAACCAAGCAAAATGGGTGGGGTGTTCTTTAATAAACTAGCAAACACACAGTAATAATAACCCACACACAATTCCCAGCACAAAACCCCCTTCAACACTGGACTGACTTGGAGTGATGAAAACAAAATTGTTCATCCCCAAACTCAGCACCCCAGAATCTAAGCATTGAGGAAGATCTGGGAATTTTAAGCCTGGAATGTCTCTGACACCCCTACACAGAACATGCTAAAAGCCTGAGTTAAAAATCAGCCCCCCTTCAGCACTCCTAATTTATTCTGTGATTGCTACAAGCTTGTAGATCCACTACTGCTTTGCATTAGTCTGCACATCACTTCAAACTTTCTTATCCCAATATCATGAGACCACTCAGGAGCAATGGCACAGGGTTAATTTTCTAGATCTATCATCTATACTCCCCTCCCTTCCTTCTCTACACACT